AGGGATTTCCACAGGGCTATGGCACCCCTCCACCATTCAGTAAGTGACCCCCCCGAGCTGAGTGCAGTCCAGCACCAAACCCACACTCCAGCTTTCACTCCTCTTTCTCTGGACTTGCATTATTTCCACCCCCCTTTCCCCCCCTGTTTCATCTGTCCTTAGATCTCTTGCCTAGATTGGGTATTCTGAGCTATAATTAACTGTGTAAGTGTTTTTTTGTCTGTGAGATGAGTTATTTTTTTCTTGGGTGTAGTGATCCTTGATGTTCTCTAATTGAAGTCTGTTGCTAAATGAATTCAGGTTTGTGTACCCCTATTACCACATCTGAGAGAAAAGTTAGAGATGACTGGGTGGTGACCTGGGCTGGACACAGGCTTGGATTTTTGGAGAAGCTTAAGGAATTAAGGTCACAGCTGGCATTGGAGATGTAAATAGGATTTTGGCCCCTACCCCTCAGGCCAGCTTTTGCAAAGTCTAGTCACAGACCTGGTTTAAAGAAGGTGGAAAATAGCACCCAGTTATCTGGAGTTGCTTATTCTGCTGTGAAGGAACCATTTGTTTGGGATCTCTTGGGTTTTTTTTTCCCCTCTCCTCAAAAGATCTTGACTAACAGGACTTCCTCCTCGTGCCTCTCACATGTGAGCACACACTGTGGTCCCCAGTTCAACTTTGTCCCTTTCTCTCTTCTGGTTGCTGACGTGGCTGCAGCCTTCCTTTTGGGGGGGAGACCTGTCATGTTGGTGGCCATCAAGGTAGGTTGTTGGGGACTTCTGGCCACAGTGATTGCCAGAACATAGGAGTGAACTACTGTGTGGCCAGCTGTAGGTGACAGATGCTTTGCTTTTAATAGACTTCAGAGCACTTTTTTCAAACTATGTTGTGCTCTGAAATGAAGCAGGAGGTCAGGGTGGTACTTACCTGTGTCTTTTCACATGTCTTGTACTTTCCTGGTGTTTCAGGTTTTGGTTATGGTGCTCCTCCTCCTCCACCTGACCAGTTTGCCCCACCTGGAGTGCCCCCTCCACCTGCCACTCCAGGGGCAGCACCACTAGCTTTTCCACCACCACCACCACCATCTCAGGCAACTCAGGACATGAGCAAACCCCCAACTGCTCAGCCAGAATTCCCTTACAGTCAGTTTGGTAAGTAACCACGTGTAAAATACACTCAGGTCCATCTGTGTCCCCTTCCTGCTTTTCTGTTACACTTGGGTGGGAGGTCAGTGTCAGAAGCAGTTTCCCTGCTCCCTGGGATGGGGATGCCAGGGTTCAAGTGATCCTTAAATCATGTGGCTCTCTAGCCAGAGGGGGTTTCATAATCAACTCCAAAACCTTGTTTGTATGCTGTGGAGCAGCCTTCAGAGACTTGTGCCCTGCTAGGAGTAGTTACAAATTCACACTCTCCCTCAGTCTGTAGTAAACTTTTTTTTCTCCAAGAGCTTCACGGAGTTTGTGACCAACTCTAGTGCAGCTGACCTGGGTCAGCCTGGGGAGCAGGGGCAGCACTGGGGGTGGGCAGTGCAGGGGGAAGGACCCACCCCCCTTCCTCTGTACCTCTTTACAAGCCTGGGTCAGGAATGTGTAAAGCTTATTGTGCTGTGTAGAGGACTGGTTGAGGTAGCCAATAGATGACACTGATGTCACAAGTTTGAAGCCAGGCAGACAGTACTACCAAAAAATGAAAACTTGCCACAGATGAGTGCTTGTGCTTCTGAGTGAAACCTCTGCCTCCTGCTGTGGGGGCTGAGGGGTTCTCACTGAGCTCCTCCACTCAGCCCTGGGCTCGGGCACTGTCTGTGGCATGCTGCCTTTTTTTTCCCCCTTTGAACTTTTTTGCATGAATTAGGCCCGTGGGTGAAGACTGTGCCCTCCTTGGACAAGTTCTGTGTGTGTGTCAGTGCCCGTGGAGGCTGTTACAAGATGAATGCTTCGTAAAGTTACTGCAGGAGATACTCTTGGAAGCCCCAGAAATGTGAAACAGGCTCTGAAGGAAGATTAGCTTTTCAGATCTGTTCATAAAGCAAGCGTGTGTTCTCCTGTGGCTGATTTTGAAATGTCTTTCCATTTTTGTTATAAAAAGTTGCTTTCATATGTAGCTTTGCCTCTGCAACTCAAGAGGAAGTTTTTATCTTGCCAGAACTTCTGTTTGCAGACTCCTTCTGAAGGGAGATAGACCCTCAGACCCTCCTCAGTGAAGTACAGTCATTTATGTTCAGTAGAGAGCAAATATTTGGGTTGAGTTGGAAGCTTAGGAAGATTGTTTTCCAACATTGAGGAAAAAGTGGGGAGGGGGAATCCAGTATTTGGGGTGTGTGGTACCACTGGCCTCTTGTCTGTTGTAGGAAGCCACTTTGCCAGTGAGGAATTTCAGGTGATCTGTCTCTGAAGCATGTAAGGGAGGGAGGAGGAGGAGGAGGTGTGTGGTACTGCATTGTGAGGAGGAAGGCTCAGGAGGTTACTGCTTAAACCACAGCTGCAGTTAGGCCCTTGCCTCAGGAGTGCTTCCTGAGCCTGCAAGTGTTTTGAGTGCAAGGGACAGAGTCTTTAACTTGTTTAATGTGCTGCAGCAGCACAGAATCACCCCCCTGTTCACAAAGCTACCTGTAAAACCTTTTAAACTTGGTCAGAGCTTCAGCACTGGGTGTGACTGTAGATGGCTGGGTGGTGCTGCTGTACAGCAGGAGCCTCCCTGCTCTGCATGTATTTACATAAATGCATAAAGCTGCTGGGCTTTAGAGGCACCCAGTTATCTCACCCTGGCGTTTAAGGGTTTGTCCTGGCTCAACAGCATCTTAAACGCTGCTTTGTGTGCAGCCAGGGTGAAGGTAAACACGAGTCAGTGAAGCACTGACAGGGGTGTGTCCCTCACCCTGAACAGTGATCTCTGCACAGGGCTCTCTGGGGGTTCGTCACCCTGCTCTCCTCATTTCTTACTAGGGCTGGGTTCCTATTCTCAAGACCCTTCAGGCTACGCGCCAATACTTTGTTTACACTCTTATGGTCAGGCTGAGCAGTGAGAAGCCTTAGGTAGGTGGTGCCTCTTTACAACCAATGCTCTTCATGTGTCTGCCTGGGGAATTAACGTGTGGGGAATTAACGTGTGTTTCTTGCAGGGTCTCTGCTGAGGGGGGTGGGGGGGACG